TGTGTGCAGTGTCCCAGTCCCACTTTGTCCTGCAATGTAGAGCCTAATGCGCTCGTCAGGGGAGGCGGAGAAGCGACCTAAGCGGCGGATAAGTTATTAAAGTGTTTTATCCCTATGTTCCTTGGGGGGTGGTGAGGGAGGTACAAGGAAGGGGGGACTAGAAGGAACTATAGTGTTAGCAATAGAGCGTTGTATTGCCTAACACTATAGAATCCCTATAAAACTAGTATGGGGAAGGGAATTGTTTGTATCTTTGTCTCCTACGTGTAACAATATACCAATGTAAGGGATGTGAAACAATATCTCATTTGGTGTACATCTAGCCTGAAAACATATGGAATGTTTCCCACACTAATTACTGGAGATACATTCAAATTCCACATTCTGAAGGAAATTCGGTTTTACTTTGAACCATGAAACATGTAATGGTGAAAAATAATTTTGTGGCTTTGTTTCAATTATTGCTTTTTGTATATACATAAATTATACGATCAAACTCTGTAACTAAATCTCTATTATTTTTGCCAAAATCTGTGTTTATAGGAACGTTTAAATCCTGTGGGCTGATGTTTAGTGACTGAGTGCGCTGGATCTTGTGTGTTGTATTAATTGGCCCCAGCAGTGCCCTTGACGGCAGCCTTCTTGATTTCATATATATATTATTTTTTTATTATTTTATTACTGGCATTTATAAAGAGCCGATATATTCCTCAACGCTGCACAATTGGGAAAAATATCTGAAGGTTAACATGGAGAGATGAGACAAGATGTAGCAGAGGAATTTATATGCAGAGATACTTAATAGAATATATATATTTGGGAGTCTAGGCCAACTCCCCAGGTTTGCACCCCTCCCTGGCACAGGTGCCTCATTCCAGGCCCCTGTTTAGCCTTGACCTGCAGAGAGTCCCAGGACGAAGAATTTCCAAAGTAAGTGGATCATAAGAGCAAGCAACAGGCTGCTAAAGTAGGACCTGCCAAGAATAGGGTACATTGACGTTGTTGCAGGCTTAGGCAATGTATGATCATACACTGTAAAAAAGACCCCGTTGTCCATGTCAGGTGTTTATAAAAAATGATTACATTTTGTGAGCTTTGAAGCAGGTGTTTAGTGAGTGATTAAGTGACTGTGCTTGATTCTGTATGTTTATATATATATATATATATATATATATATATATATAGACTTTTTTTTTTTCGAGATAATGACTTGGTTAATAAATGACGAGCAAAACTTTCAAAACAAATATATACGCACAGAGGTTAACGTCGTGTCCTTGACCCTATTACTACCAAACTAGATGATCTGTTCCAGTGTGTATGATTATTGTTTTATCTGTTCTATAAAACCCTTGTCTAGCACAGATTGTTCTCCATAACTTCCTCTGTCCTGAAACTCATTGGGGTCTTGTCAACGAGAGTAGTACTATTACATTGATTAACTGCGAGCTAAGAATATTTTGCGGTGACCTCAGGTTACTATCAGTGCAATAATAGACCACAGGTGGTGGACTGGAGCCAGGTCCTACAACTAAACAGCACTACATGAGATCCAGATATGACTACCTGTATCAATTGAGGAAACAAAAGTGAGAAAGTCTCAGAAGAAGACTAAAATTAACCTACTGTATTTGTAAGAGCAGGTCTACATTATAAAATACAGAAAACAAACACACATTGGATTGTTGATAAATTCTATCTATTGCCTGTGGCAAAACAAAATATTGTTTTCCCCTCCGTTTCCCCTTTGGTGTCTATAGTGCCCCTTTAAAGCAAAAAAAAACAAACATATATAATGTAAATTTCAAAGCAGTTCTTATTTATCATCTTCAGGTTCAGCTAAAGTAACTATTTTGTGTATTGTATTACATCAATAATGCCAAATGTAACATGTCTTTGAATGAGGAAGTAAAATTTCAGCAATTATGAAAATAGAGGCCAACGGCAGTCAAAAGACGTTTGCTGCCCTTTAGCACGGTTCGGGGTCCTCACTACTTTTTGGGTGTTAAAAACTGTCTGCCACTCGACAGTGTGGGTGGAGTTTAACGCGAAGATGTGACGTCATGTCCATACGCTTAGCACAGCCATCACCATCGAGTGACAGATAGGAAGCTTCAGTGCTGCCCTGTGCGTGGCTTGATGTGTACATAAACCACACAACTGCTTTACTACTTTGCCATCAATTTTTGCACCCAGGGGCGCCACACCGTTCATTCCCCATGTAATTACGCTACTGTATGCATGTATCATCTATCTATCTTGCTGTCTGTCAGTATATAAATCGCAAACATTCCTGAAAAGTTTTAAGCACCTGTTTGGCATTAAAACGTCTGAGAACTACATTTCAATCTCTACTGGTGATTCCTGTGCCCAACCCCCACCCAGCCTAGGTACACCCAAAACAAACTTGTTTTCCTGGCACTATAGCTTCCCCCTCTGTCAAGGCTACACCCTCGCTGTTGAGTGACATAGACAGTTTACACTCCTCCCCCGCCGATGGATGCAATGGCCGCGCTCGCATTAGGACCTCCCCATAAAAAAGCATTATTCAATGCTTTCCTATGGGGATTCCGGTGGCGCTGGAAGTCCTCGTGTATAGCGTGAGGATGTCCAGCGTCATTTAGGCAACCAAAAGTCGTCTAAGAACCCGGAAGTCCCACCAGTGGATGTCTGGTAGACAGCCACTAGAGGAGGACTTAACCCTAGCAGGTAATTATTGCAGTTTGTAGAAACTGCAATAATTACATGCTCTGGATTAAGGGTGATTGGAGTTGGCACCCAGACCACTTCAATGAGCTGAAGTGTTCTGAGTGCCTACAGTGTCCCTTTAAGAAAAAAACTAAACGTTATTTCCCCCATGTTATACAAGACTATTTGTAGTCAGGTAAAGTGGCAAAAATAACATACCCTCCCTCTCATACTCACATTTATGTCAGCGATAGGGAGGGGAGTATTTATCATTTTAATTAAACAAGAGGCACTAATTTAAGTAAAATATGTGGGCCACAAGCTAGCATTAGTTCCAACCACAATTAGGGTGTGGATATAGGAAGGGATGCTTCTAATTCACAAGGTCCATTTATATCTCCATCCTGCAATCTCCGCAGTGTGGAATGAGGAAAATCTTGACAGCCTTTTGTCCACTTGCATGGCACAAGAACTTTTATACTTTTTTGTTTTTTAATTTCTTTTTTCTTAAAGGGACACTATAGTCACCCTGACCTCTTCAGCTCAATGATGTATGTGTTCTGTGTGCAGGCCCTATTCTTCTAAAACATTGATGTTTTTTTTAGAAACTGCCATGTTAAATCCACCTCTAGAGGCACTAGAAGCACTTTCACTGCACTGACTGCGTTAACCTCAGTCACATGACACGGAAGCTCACAGGAAAGCATTGAATACAATGCTTGCCTATGGGGAAGCTTGGATAAGTACATTAGGTCCCCAATGCTCCTCTATGAGGATCACTGGATCAGACCATTACGGAGGAAGCCATGCATTCTTCATGGCTTTACCTATGGTGGGGAGGTGAGCAACAACAAGGGAGCATGGGCCCTGCAAAATACTGAGTATAAACCTTTATTTTATCATTTTCTATTGAGGGGAGGCTATATTTAATTAGGGACAGGGGCACTATAGCATTACGAATACTTTAAAGGGACATGCATCACTTGACATTTATTTTTTTTTATTTTTTTTATTCTTTATTTTTGCGTGCACAAGAGTTAGACATGTTGCAACGTATGCATCGTTTGAGAAGGTAACAGGTTTAAACATTTGTTAGATAATGCATTTGATAAATTTTAGCACAATTTTTCATTAAGTTTAACATGCGTAACATCCTAGGTAGAGGTTGGGTCGTATAGGGGTTTAGTCGTGTTACACGTCTGCGGGTGCAGTACCTAGGTCATGGGTTGGTGTCAAAGGCGTGACCCTAATGGTGTTAGGAAGTAATTGCGTGGAGATGCGGAGTGGTGCTAGGGTCCGTGTGGGTGCATTAGGTGTAGTTTTGTCGGTCAAGTAGTCTGGTGAGTGGTACACGTGTTCTGAAGTGGCCTGGTCATCTAGTTCCGCTGGCGACCACTCATGAGGGGTGGTAGCCCTAACCTAGGGGCTGTCGGGGGGGTAGGTTTTGGCTTAGGCTATGGCTTGTGGTCTTGTAATGCGGCAGCGCGCCAGCGTCCTCGCCAGCTAAGTCATCTAGCTAGCGGTAAACAGGTAAGAACTTCAACATCAGAAATGTATTGCGCGGAGGGTGGGGGGAATACAGGTTGTGGTAAACAAGACATATGGATATCGCCGTCGAGCGGGCAGGGTTAAGAGACCTTAACCCTGTCCGTCAGGTGGCTTGCGTGTCCATTCTCTGTCTTCTCGGCACAAACGTGTCCGAGGCATCTGGATTCCAGACGTGGGGAGTGCCCAGGTTGGGCAAGTTTTGCAGGCCCAATTTTGTGAGTAGTGTAGGGGCCTCAGTCCCTGAGGTGATTTTATGGGTGGTCCCCTGGTGGGTGATGAGCAGAGAGCGGGAGTTCCCCCATCTATATGGTATCCCCGCTGTACGCAGGTGGCCGGTGAGTTCAGTAAGCGACTTTCTCCACTGGAGGGTGGCCTTGGATAAGTCCTGATAAAAGGTCAGTTGGGTTTCCTCGAAATCAAGCGGGGTCTTACCCCTGATTGCGCTCATGATGTGCCCCTTGTCTTGGGGTAGGGCGCAACGGATAATGACATCTCCGGCTAGCGTTGCGGCGGCTCTAGGAGGCGTGGGTAGGCGGTAAATCCCTGCAAAGGCGAGGTTTCTTTGTTACTGCGGGAGGGAGTAATGATTGTGTGAGTCGCCTCACGTAATGCGGTAGGTCCTCTTTGCTCACCGATGCCGGGATGCCTCTGATTTTGATGTGGTTGCGCTGGTTTTTGTCCTCCTGCACCGCCAGTTGTATTGCTAAGTGTTGCTGGTCTTGTTGTAGTTGGTGGAGCGAATCTTGTAGCGTAGAGACTTCTCCCTGTATTGTTTTGACTTGGTTTTCAGTGGTGGTCACTTTTTCTGTGATCTGTTGCATGCTCGTTTTGAGCGCTGGTAGGTCTGCTGCCAGCAGGTGTTGTATATCCTGCAGCATAGTTTGCAACTGCTGCAGGTCCTGCTTTGTGGCTGCTGATCCCTGTGGGGGTATGGGTTTGGTGGTTGTGGTCTGTGTGAGCTGTGGAGATCTCTGTGTGTCCCCCTGAGTGGTTTGTGCAGGTGGGGTATCTGCCTGTGGGGGGTCTGGGCCCTGGTCGGGCGCCATTTTGGCTGGGGTTTGTTTCTGCAGCAATGCCCCTATATCAGGCAGTGCTGAGGCAGTACCTTGGTGTGGTCTTTGTGATCTGCGCCCCATCTCCTCGTGGGATTGGTCGGGGTCCTGTAGATGGTCTTCGCTTGGGTCTCCCAGGCTCTCTCCGCCCCACAAGTACTCCAGGCCGCGGCAGTTTGGCGTGTAGTAGGCCCGGATTTTCGTTTTGGGCTTTGCCTGCCTCGAATTGTACCGAAATGGCATCGGGCGGTGCAAGATGGACTCCCTCGGGCAATGCTGGTAATTGTTTGCGTGGATGTATTTTCGGTGATGTTTGACGGATTCAGTTTTAGTTTGCTCAGAGCTGTCAGAAATGGCGTCCGGCTCGTTCCGCCGCTAAGCCCCGCCCCCTGACATTTATTTTTTTACCCAGCAAGATGTTTAAACAAAAATACAAACAAATAAACCAAGAAAAACGTTGAAAAGTATGTAATAAAAGTTTATAAACTTACTATAAACTTGGTCAGATTGCATTATTGGGCACGCCTCTCAGATAGGGGAGTTTCTCCTGCCTCACCCACTTACCCATCCATCTCAGTTTCAGACTTTCAGACCAGTCAACTAATGACAGAAACAGGGCACCGTTGTGCCGCAGCAGTAGAGAAAAGAAACCAACGCCGGAGCCTGATCTGCATTACGATCAGACTCGCCCTCTTCTTCCCCCTTCTTCCCCTGTCAAGATGCAAAGTGAAAAGATTTTCCAACTGTACATGTGTAAATCTGTCATATGTCTAATGCACTTATTCCAGCATTCCTAGGGATAGGACACTGATTGGTTAGATCCGTGCTCTCCGTCCCCGCCTGGAGTGGGTGTGAGAAGCATAGGAAAGAAGAAGCAGATAAATATGAAAAAAGAAAATTCCACCTCCAGAGGTAAAACTTTTGAATGAGACAATTTTCCCTTTAACCCTAGAGGACCGAGGACGGTTCAGGACCTAACAGAAAACAGGCGGCGGGAGCGATCAGAGATCACTTCCGCCGAAATCCTGTTGTTACTATCTGCCCGGCATCCCAGGCAGATAGTAACAGCCAATTGTGGCGTGTGACCGATCCGCGATCCGTGATCGCTCACAATTGGCTGGTGTCAAAGTGGGTGTTACAAACACTCACTTTGACACTGATCTCTGCCTCTCTCCCCCGCCTAGCGTTTTGTGAGGCGAGAGAGACAGAGATCGTGATATATTGTTGCAGCAGGTGTTCCAGAGAGTTTTAAAAAGTATCAACAGTGAATTAAAAAAAAAAACAACCTTTTAACCCCTTCCCTGCCAGATCTGTTACAGACATTTGTACTGTCTGTATTTTTTTTGCCCTTAAGGGTTAACTTTATTTTTAAAATATGTGTCTTAGACTGTCTTAGTCTGTCTCAGTAAAAAAAAATATATAGATATATATAAAAAAAAAAATTGTGATTAGTATTTTGTTAGTTTAGTCTATTAGTGTGAAACATGCAGCGCATGTACAGCTTGGAGGAGGCATATGCCTTCTTGGTGTCAGACTCTGACGCCACTGACACTGCTTTCGATTTTGACCCAGGTCAGTTTAGCGACACGTCTTGTGACATGTCATCTGTGTGTGAGCCAGCTGCTAAAAGAAGTTGTGCTTCCCCTGCTACGCCGAATGTGGAGGAGGACTGGATACATCCACAGTCAGCTGAGCCCAACATCCCCCCTTTTAGTGCCAACGCAGGCATTAATGTGATTGTGGTTGACTTCTCCCCTATACAATATATGGAGTTATTTTTAGGGGATACCATCTGGGAGGAGATTGTTTCCCAGACTAATTTATACGCTAGCCAATTTACTGAGACCAATCCAGGTAGATATACAGTCAGGGAGCATGCTTGGCATCCCACAGATGTCCCTGAACTTAAAAAATTCTGGGCTCTTACAATGCTCATGGGGATAATAAAGAAGCCATCAATCCGCTCTTACTGGAGCACCAACCCAATTTGTTCGACTGCTATATTCTCCCAAACAATGCCTAGACCAAGATATGGGCTGCTGCGTAGATACTTACATTTCAACGACAATACGCTCTGTCACCCCAGAGATCATCCCCAATATGATAGGCTTCATAAAATCCGCCCACTGGTAGACCATCTTCAGAACAGATTTTCTGAAGTTTATACTCCCAAACAAAATTTATCTATTGATGAATCCCTTATGAAATATAAAGGGAGATTAGGGTTCAAACAGTATATCCCCTCAAAGCGGTCTAGGTATGGCATTAAAGTGTACAAACTTTGCGAGAGCGAAAGTGGCTACACATTTTCCTTTCATGTATATGAGGGGAAAGATGGTCAACTGGACCCTCCTGGCTGTCCTGACTCTCTGGGGACAAGTGGGAAACTTGTTTGGGACCTACTGATCCCCTTGTTCAATAAGGGTTACCACCTTTATGTGGACAATTTTTACAGCAGTGTCCACTTGTTTAAAATTCTTTATCATTTGCAGACACTGGCCTGCGGCACTGTAAGAAGAAATGCCAAGGATTTCCCCAGACCTCTCATAGAGGCCAAATGAAAAAAAGGTGAATGCAAAGCTCTGCGCAAAGCTGAACTGCTTGCGCTAAAATTTAAGGACAGGAAGGATGTTCACATGCTAACAACCATCCATAACGAAAGCATGTCAGACGTCACTGTCCGAGGCAGGGTGTAGACAAAACCTGTTTGCGTCAGGGCTTATAACAGGTACATGGGGGGTGTTGATTTGGCTGATCAGCTGATGCAGCCATATCTTATCTTAAGAAAGACACAAGCCTGGTATAAAAAGGTGGCTGTCTACCTGATGCAAGTAGCAACACATAATTCATTTTTACTCTTTAAAAAAATGAATTCAGGAAGAACCACCTTTCTCCAATTTCAGTTCAAGCTGATTTCCACAATAATTTATGGAGATGGTCAAGTTCCAACAACGGTGCCAGAGGAGTCCAGACATTTTATTTTTAAGATACCGCCAACTGCAAAAAAAACAAATCCCCTGAAATGTTGCCGGATCTGTTATAAAAAAGGGAAAAGGACAGACACCCCTTTGCACTGTTTTTTTTTTTTTTTTTGAAAGCAGCAAATTTTAGTAAGTCAGTTTCCTTCCCCCAAATCTCCAGTTAGATTCTTTTTGCAGGAGTTAGTTTAGAGAATGCTGCTAAAGGTGCATTTGATACCTGCACATTTGGTTAAAAAAGTGTTATGGCAGTAACATATAACTGGCTGGCCAAAACCAGATGACGTGCATAAAAAGCAGAATTCGAAAATTACCACCATGCACGTTCTCTGAAATTTGTTTAGCACAATGGTTTGGGGAAGGATGTGAAAACACCTCATATACAATACCCTGGAATGTCTACTTTATAAAAATATAAACTTTCATGATATTAACATTAACAGGGGGATGCAAAAATATGCCAAAGTGAAGATAGGCCAAGCATACCTATATATCAAGTTGAAAAACTGATATGTACAAGTCTCGATCGTGGCCTTTTAGCCCCCAAACAACCCTACAAGCCTATGCATGGCTGGTATCACTGTACTCAGGAGATGTTGCTGAACACATATTGGGGTGTTGTTTGGCAATGTCACATATCAGGATCAGTTGATTCATGCCTAAAGTACAATGTGTATGAAAAAAAACACAAAAACAATTACTACCTAAAAGTTTGACAAAGTCTGGTGGTAGAATTAGTGCATGGAAAGTGTTAAAATACCACCATTTGAAATACCCTAGGGTGTCTACTTTAAAAAAATATATGGTTTGGTGGGGGTAAAATACATTGGCCGGCCTTACGAATGTCCCAAATAGGACATGTGCGCAGGTTGACTACATGTCAAAATTCCAAGTTGAAAAATGGATATGCGCACCTGCCAAATGTGGCCTTTTAGCCCCCAAACAACTCAACAAGCCTATGCACGGGTGATATCACTGTACTCGGGAGATGTTGCTGAACATATATTAGTGTATTTTTTGGCAGCAACACATAACAGGATCTGTGAGTTTATACCTGAATTGCAATGTTTGTGGAAAAAAAACAACAAAAAACAACCTATGCGAAGTTTGGCAAAGACTGGTGGTAAAATGGCTGCATAGAAAGCGTCAAAATATCCTTAGATGAATACCCTGGGTTGTCTACTTTAAAAAATATATATATACATGTGGCATGTTTTCCAGAGATTTATGACAGATAATAGTGTTACAATGTCACTATTGATAAATTTTAAAAATGTTTGTTTTGAAACCGCCATATCCTACTTGTACCTATAGCCCTATAACTTGCAAAAAAAAAGCAAAAAAGCACGTAAACACTGGGTATTTTTAAACTCAGGACAAAATTTTGAATCTATTTAGCAGTTTTTTTCATTAGCTTTTGTAGATGAGTAAAAGATTTTTCAAGTAAAAGTCAAAAAACATGTATTTTTTTCAATTTTGCTTCATTTTATTAAAAAAAAAATTAAATGACATGAGATTATATAAATAATGTTATGTAAAGAAAGCCCTTTTTGTCCTGAAAAAAAACCAATATATAATTTGTATGGGAACAGTTAATGAGAGAGCGGAAAATTACAGCTAAACACAAACACCACAAAAGTGTAAATGAGGCCTGGTCGCAAATGTACAACATCGCAAAAACAGTCCAGTCCTTAAGGGGTTAAAGAATATATACAGCCTTAGGAATACAAACATTAAAGCATCCCCTCCCATGAGCGCTGTGGAATTTGCTGGCGCTTTGTAAATAATAATACAAATAATAATGAGGGTTTAAAACGTGAGTATAATGTACCTTTTAGCCCATGCCATGCTGATTTTAGCCATGGTCGCTCCTCCTCACTTTCTGAGATCATTAAGATGAAATGAAATGGTCTGGGTGAATTCAGTGGTCCATTAATGAAGTAGAAAGTTTGCTGCACCCTTCCAAACCGTAGGCACTTTATGGGCCTGTGGTTACAGCCGAATGAATGTTAAAAGCTGCGAAAATGATGGATTGTCTCTTCACTGAGTGCACTATTTAGCCCTCT